ATAAAATTCTTCGCAAGAATTCAATTATTTTCAAAAATATCAGAATTTTAGCAGAAATTCAAACATTTTAAAAAGTTTTGATAAAACTTTTTTTGGTAGAAATTCAGTTATTTTTAGGACAATTTTAAAAAAAAGTCTCGATAAAATTCAATTATTTTAAAAATTTTAATGAAATTCTTCGAAAGAATTCAATTATTACATAATCTAAGATTTTAACTGAAATATATTTTTAAATCAATGTTTATGAGAAAATTCTACCAGAATTCAATTATTTAAATACAAATAGAATGCAAATAAATAATTTATTGAATAATTGAATGTTTCTTGGAATTCAATTCCTATTAAAAATTTTATCAACAAATTTTTAAATAATTAAATTCTTGGGACGAATTTTAATAAAATACTTAAGAATTTTTTCGAGGAATTCGATTAAAATTATTGTATTGAAAATAATTGAATTCCTAAAAAGAATTTTATTATTTACGAAAATAATTGAATCCCCGTAAAATTTGTATTATTTATGAAAATAGTTGAATGATTGCGAAAAAATTTATAAAAAAAATTTGTTATTAATTAAAATCTTGTGAAATTTTTATTATTTTTTGAAAATAATTAAAAGTTTTTGTAGAATTTTATTAATTTTTTTTTGTAAATAATTAAGTTCTTTTGGTAAATTTTATGAAAATAGTAGTTATTGAACAATATTTAATTTTTGCGAAGAATATTATTACTTTTGAAAATAATTGAAATTTTGTAATGGATTTTATTAAAATTTTTGAAAATGATTGAATTTTGTCGAAGAATTTTGCAATTTATTTAGAAAGATAATTGAGATGTTGACAATTTTTTTTTAGATTTTTTGAAAATAATAGGATTTCGGAGAAGAATTTTAATACTTCTAAAGATAATTGAAATTTTGACGAGAATTGTTAAAAATTTTTGAACATAATTGAATTTATGCGAAGAATTTTATTACTTTTGAAAATAATTGAAATTTTGCAATGAATTTTATTAAAATTTTTGAAAATAATTGAATTTTATTACTTTAGAAAATAATTCAATTCGTGTGATAAATATTGTTAATTATGAAAATCATTGAAATTTTGTAATGAATTTTAATAAAATTTTTGAAAATAATTGAATTTCTGAGAATAATTTTAATATTTCTAAGGATAATTCAAATTTTGACGAGAATTTTTTTTATTTTTTGAACATAATTGAATTTTTGCAAAGAATTATATTACTTTTAAAAATATTTGAATTTCTGCAATCATTTGTAATTTCTCTAAAATTCTCAAAATTATATCGTACAATTTACGAACTTTTCATCCTTTTTGAATGAAATTACGGACTTTACGGACCTTTTTTCAAAAAAACGGACTTTTACGGACTTGAAGCAAAGTTACGGACTTTTTCAGGATTTACGGACCTACTTCGAGCCCTGCATAGACTTGACTTAGACTTGACTAAGATTTGACAAAGACTTGACTTAGACTCGACTTAGACTTGACACAGTTTTGAGTTAGACTTGAGTTAGACACGACTAAGACTCGACTAAGACTCTACTTAGAATTGACTAAGACTTTGACTATGACTAAGACCTTGACTTTGACAAAACTTAGACTTTGATAAAACTTAGACTTCGACTAAGACTTAGACTTTGACTATAACTTAGGCTATGACTAAGACTTGATTAAAACTTAGACTTTGACTAAGACTTAGACTTAGGTTATGACTTTGACAAAGAATTAGATTTTGACTAAAACTTAAAATAAAACTTTGACTATGACTTAGACTAAGACTAAGACGTTGACTTTGACTAAGACTTAGACTTTGACTATGACTTAGACTTTGACTAAGACTTTGACTTAGACTAAGACTAAGACCTTGACTTTGATAAAACTTAGACTAAGACTTAGACTTTGACTATAACTTAGGCTATGACCTAGGCTAAGGGTTAGTTTCACCAACACCGATTAAAAGTTAATCAATGATTAAATCCTTAATTATCTAATCAGAAGCCGTCAAACTGGTTTTAATCATTAATTCAACTTTTAATCGGCCTTTATGAAACTGGCCCTAAGATTTAGACTAAAACTTTGACTTAAACCTAGACTATGACTTAGACTAAGACCTAGAATTTGACTAAACTTTAAAAAACTTATATAAAATTTAGTAAAATTATATTACGAAAAATCAAAAGGTATAAAATGTTTACGAGATCGTAAATTTAACCTTAATTTGACACACATTACAATGACAATTTTATAGAGAAATTCAAACCTTTTTTACTTTTTATAATAATTAGCTGGAATTTAAACCATGTCCTCTATTCATGTATTAACTCCTAAAAAATCGCGCTTTTGTTTAATTACCCCAGATGTAATATAAAAGCAGGGTATAAAACTAAACATTGAAATGTTTAATAGATCAAAAAGAATGAGTACACTGCGAGAGCTATAATTCGTTTCTAAAAGTACGATTCACAGTTAACGCTCACATCATGTTGTAAAGCACTGGTTCTCGTCCGATCACCAAAGTTAAGCGACATTGAGCGCGGTTAGTACTTGGATGGGTGACCGCTTGGGAATACCGCGTAGTGTTGACTTTTTTTTAAATTGAACTTTATCCATAAAATTATATTTACCTATATAGTTTATTGCAATTCGTTTACTCACATTGTTTTATTATAGTGTTTTTTTTAAACATTGTCTTCTATAGTACTACATCAAATTAGCATTCACTTTTTAGCCAAAACTAAGGTTTTAATCAACGTAAAAAAGCTCTTTATTATCAGCAGATATATATCCATAAATCAGGGTTCCTATAGAAATGCGAATTTAAAATTCCATACCTTTTCCATGATTTCCAGGTCAAGTTTTTAGGAAATTCCAGTGGAATTTTAAACTTAATTTCCACGTCTTATAATATATATTATATCTTAAAATTTCTAATTGAATTTCTAGAGATTTCCAGAAGCTTTTCAAAAATTTCATACCATTTCCATGATTTCCAGATTCTGTAAGAACCCTGAATAAATACACTGTTCCTATATTAATATAAAAAAGTATCTTCAACTAAATACTATTAAATACTCAATTTCTACATGTGACTTCATGAAAGTTAGTTCTTATACTACACACAAATATCTAAATTTCAGCAGTAAAAAAAAGTAAAGTAATAATTATTTAGAACCAAATAATTCTTTCGTAAAAAGCAATTGGTGGCCCTGAAAAGGGCCGTTTGTTTTCAATCATCCGTTATCAATTTCTTTCCACTTTACTTCTTGGCAACCCTCTTTGCCGCGGGCTTCTTCGCTTTGGGCGCTGCAGCCTTCTTGGGCGAAGCTTTGGCCGCCTTCTTGGGAGCAGCCTTGGTCACCTTGGGTTTGGCGGTGGTGGACTTGGCCTTCGGTGGCTTGGCCGCAACCTTCGGGGTCTTCTTCTTCTCGGCGACGGCTTTCTTGGTCTTGGCTGCCACGGCCTTCTTCGGAGAAGCTGCTTTCTTGGCCTTTGGTGCTGCAGCAGCTTTGGGTTTGGCGGCAGTCTTGGTCTTGGGCTTGGCTTTGGCCTTGCCCTCGGCCTTGGCGACGTTCAACTTGAAGGACCCTGCAGCGCCCTTGCCCTTGGTCTGGATCAGAGCCTTGCTGGCGACTGCAGCCTTCAGGTACTTTCTGATGAAGGGAGCCTGCTTCTCGACATCGACTTTGTAGGTGGCGGCGATGTACTTCTTGATGGCTTGGAGCGAAGAGCCGCCTCTCTCCTTCAAAGTGGCGATGGCCGCGTTCACCATCTCCGACGATGGCGGGTGACTGGTCTTGCCCTTGGTCTTGTTCCGCCACATTCTGGCGACTGCAGCCTTCACGCTCCTTCTGATTAAGGAAGAACAATCCGAGACGTCGATATTTTTGGCGGCGGCGATGTCACTGAAGGAAGGAATGATCCTGCAGCGCGTGGTTCCCTTAGTACGAGGCATTGCTTCGAAGTTAAGAGTACGAGTGACGACTGAAAATAACGGTTAGCGCGGTAAAACCGCACATATTTATAGCTTTCTGAAGCTCTTGCACCGGTTAGTCAAGGGGAAGGGGAAACTGACATCCTGTTCATTAAGGTATAATAAATATTTTTGCCAAGCAGTTTTACTCTAGGATTAACCGTTTAGTAAATATTATTAAAAAACTATTTTCTGACAAATGCGCGCGAGTCAGGAGTCTAGCGTATGTGTTGAGTTGACAATGCTAAGTCTCAAGATTGTTTGTTTTAGCCGCGCGCATTTGTCAGAAAATAGTTTTTTAATAATATTTATTAAACGGTCCAAAGTTTGTTGTCTTAAGGATAGTTTAAACTATACTCCCTGTAAATATAAAAAGAAAATATTCATAACTTTATGTTTTAGAGCGAGTTAAAGTCAAAAATTTAATTAAAAATGTGTTTTCAGAGAATCCAGTTTTTTGCATTTTTCTCGAAGTTATCAATTTTTTTTATAGAAGAAAAAATATGGGGAATCGAATTTCCAATAAGGAAGTGATTTCAAAAATTTTTTTTATGACCATCGATTTTTCAACCATCAGACGCCTGAGGAAATTTTATGCGTGGTTTTACTATCCGGCGGCTCATATATTTCGTCAAAAAGAACAAATGTGTAAATTTATTTATTTCTCTGCAACTACTTAGTAAAAAAAAGTTGTTTTAACTACATTACTACATAAATGTAACAACTTTCAGAGGTTGAATTTACCATATAAAAAAAAAGTAAATTTCATATTGTTTGCAACTAATACAAAATACTTATAATTACTAGCCCAGTAGTTAAAATGCTACTGAATATTGTAGTTAACTACTTTTTTCTAACTACACATATGTGGTTGTTTTCATCATTCGCATTTTTCCTGTGTACATATCACAAACAATATTCGTGAATTTCGAAAACAAGTGCATTATGCATCAAATAAGGCTAGAATGTAGGTGTAAACATGATTTACTATATTATATACACACTGATGGATTGCACTATAATGCTTTTATCATAAAACTATGTTAATGAAAAAAATTATTCAAACGTAAAAAAGATTTGGTGGCCCTGAAAAGGGCCGATTGTTTTGAATGATGACGATGATGATGGAAAAATTAACCGCCGAAACCGTAGAGAGTACGGCCTTGACGTTTGAGAGCATAGACGACGTCCATGGCGGTGACGGTCTTCCTCTTGGCGTGTTCTGTGTAAGTGACGGCGTCACGGATCACGTTCTCAAGGAACACTTTTAAGACACCACGGGTCTCTTCGTAAATCAATCCTGAGATACGTTTCACTCCACCTCGACGAGCCAAACGACGGATGGCGGGCTTGGTGATACCTTGGATGTTATCACGCAACACTTTACGATGGCGCTTGGCTCCTCCTTTTCCCAATCCCTTTCCTCCCTTTCCACGACCAGTCATTTTCACAGAGAATAAGGTTCGTACGTTCAAGCAGAACAGAGAACAAACTCGGAATGATGCTAAGGCCGTGAAAGGGCGCTGTTTTATTCCCTCTGGAGTTCCACTGCTCCCCTCCACGATTCGATCTACCAATCAGGATGTCAGTGTCCCCTTCCCGTTGACTAACTGGTGCAAGAGCTTCTGAAAGCTATAAATATGTGCGTTCATATCGCCGAAACCATTTTTCAGTTGTCCCTCGTACTGTGAACTTCTAAGCAATGGCTCGTACCAAGCAAACCGCGCGTAAATCCACCGGTGGAAAGGCACCGAGGAAACAACTCGCCACCAAGGCCGCTCGTAAGAGTGCGCCTGCAACCGGTGGAGTGAAGAAGCCCCATCGCTACAGGCCCGGAACCGTCGCTCTCCGTGAGATCCGTCGCTACCAGAAGAGCACCGAGCTCCTCATCCGCAAACTGCCCTTCCAACGCTTGGTCCGTGAAATCGCTCAGGACTTCAAGACCGACCTGCGCTTCCAGAGCTCCGCCGTGATGGCCCTCCAGGAGGCCAGCGAGGCCTACCTCGTCGGTCTCTTCGAAGACACCAACTTGTGCGCCATCCACGCCAAGAGAGTCACCATCATGCCAAAGGACATCCAGTTGGCCCGTCGTATCCGAGGAGAACGCGCTTAATTCTTTCCACCAAACAAAACAATCGGCCCTTTTCAGGGCCAACAAATTTTCTTACGTTGAAATATTTTTAATTCTTATACAAACATGCCTTAATATTCTATAAACAACCTTTTTTCGTATCGATTAAAAATACCTTTTAGTAGCAAAAAATCATACTGGATCTGGTAATTTTTTAATATTACATTCTCCAATTGCTCATCGAAAGAGTTTGTTATTTTGACGAAACCTACAAGTGAATGTAACTGATAAATAGTTATTCACTATTTTAATATTAAAAGTATTACTATATTTGAATAACTGACTTTCTACTATGAGATTAATTATTTTTATAGCTAGTACAAATATAGAAATTATAGACTATGCAAGAAATAGTCAGAGAATTTTATGAAAAGAACAAATTATTAGAAATTTTATGAAATTGTTTGTCTTGCAAATAAGGACAGTATTTTATGACGCTGAAAATTACTGGATTATGCCCTGAAAAACTGATTATTATGCGTTGAAAAATCAAAAAGTGCAAAATTGATGCTTTTGAAAGAAAAACGGGACCAAAATAAAGCTTTTAACATAAGGTTAATTAAAAGATGCATTTTAAACTAATATATATGGCTAGAATAATATAATATATACCTATTAAATTAAATATAAATAATAATAATAAAATAAGTTGTAGGCTACAAAAATTGATCATTTGCATGAATTTTTTTTAAGAAAAACCACCAACATTTTTAAATAAAGCAACTTATTCTCTATATTCATAAGAAGTAATAAAAAAAATTCTTTTTTGACAAAATGACAACCACTGAAATTTAACATATCGATTTTTTCTAAAAAAAAACTGTGGGTTCTTAGCTGTAAAAAGATATTTTTGCAGAATTTTCACTAAACTTTGCAAGTGAATAATTCCAAGTTTGCAAGTAAGTTTTTAGTAAATATTTAGGAAATTTTCGGTGCTGTGTGGGTAAACTTAAAAAAAATACAAGAAAAAAAAACCCATTTTTTGAAAATTACAACTAGGGTTGCCCTTTTAATTATGGATGATTAATTTTATTCATAAATTTATGATAAAATGTATTTATAAATAGATATTTCGTTAATTCAGATTTAGACGGTGGAATATTTTTATATTTCTTGCACAAAAAATAAAATTATGCAAGAATTAAAAAATTGTGCGATGAAAAAAAATTATGCGTTTTGATGACACGTTAAATTTATTTTATTTTATTCATAAACATGATAAAACGTAAAACTTTCTTTCAATTTTTGAAATTTATGCGATTATGCGCTTCGCACAAAGTGTAGGTCTCTACTTGCAAACAAGTGATTTCCTCTTCAGGGAGTCTATAAAAACAATATATAAAAAATATAAAAATAATAAACGAGTTTACAAAATATAAATACAAAATTATGAAATTATAATAAACACAAAATAAATACAAAATAAAGAGAGTTTAAAATTTCTTACCGAAATAAATCAGTGATATAGTTTACATCATCTTTTTCAAATCGTCATAAAAATAAAAATAAAAATTGTCAATTTTTACGTTAAACCCATAAACGTTGGAAAACGTTGGAGTCAATAACAAAAATAAGAAAATAGTAAAGTGAAAATAATAATAAAATAAATAATAGATGTAAACTACTAATATCATGTCGAGTCATGAGTGACCCTGACAAAATTCAGTGAATTTTTTAATTTTGCCAGACATGTGATATACCCGTTATATTTTTTATTATAGCTGAAATGTTGAAAAAGAGAAAAACAAAATAAATTCCTTCGTAAAAACGTTTGGTGGCCCTGAAAAGGGCCGATTGATATAGACGAGCAGCGAAAATGTCTTTGAAGTAACATTATCTACTGCTTTGCGACTTTCTTAACTGCAGTCTTCCTGGGCTTCGGAGAAGCTTTCTTGGTAGCTGCAGGTGCCTTGGATTTCTTGGGAGAAGCCTTCGTAACTTTGGGTTTGGCAGCGGTAGATTTGGCCTTTGGCGGTTTGGCCGCGACCTTTGCTGGCTTCTTCTTCTCGGCTACTGCTGGTTTCTTAGCCTTTGGTGCTTTCGGCTTAGCTTTTCCCTCAGACTTGGCGACGTTCAATTTGAAGGAGCCCGCAGCACCTGTTCCCTTGGTCTGAATCAGGGTCTTGTTGGCGACGGCCGCTTTCAGGTACTTCCTGATGAAAGTAGCTTGCCTCTCAACGTCGACTACGTACTTGCCGGCAATGAACTTCTTGATGGCTTGCAGAGACGAACCTCCCTTCTCGTTCAAATGAGTGATGGCTGCAACGACCATCTCTGATGCTGGCGGATGAGCGGCCTTCACACGAGGCTGTTTCGACTTTGCAGCTCCCTCGGAAGGTGCAACTGCAGGCGCAACAGTGGATTCTGCTTTCTCTGCCATTTTAAAATTGAATTTCTAGTTTATATTCAGAATTGAAGACTAACTTTAGGATGCACTCGATGCAACTAGTCAGGCTGTAGTGAAAAAATTTCCAGGTTCGCGGCGACATAGTAAAAGGCACGAACGGTGAAGAAAGGCCCACATTGCAAATGAACGTCGATTTCTCTGAACTTGGGCAAACTTGGAACTATATTTCAAATTTTTAACAGACAAATTTGTTTATAAACTTTTAAATTACTGAAATAATGGTTGACAACTGTAGTAAGTTTCAGATGTAAATGATTAATTTTTTATAATTTACAGAAAGTGGCTGAGTAAATAAACATTTTTGAAAATTGTGAACATTACTTTGTAACACTGACATGAGTACAAAGGATAAGCAAGAACAATGTAAGTAATTTCTGTTTTTGAAAAAGTGCATTTTATTGACAATAGTAAATAATTTGGTTATTCTTTTGGTTACATTATTTTTTATGATATATGTAGAATTTATCACTTGGTCAAATATTAATTTTAACGTTTCGACAGTAGAGGTGTGCATTTAATCGAGTCGAATCGAAAATTATTCGACTCGACAACAGAAAATTCGAATCGAAAATAAATTCGAATCGAACTACCAATTCGAAGTTTCGAATTTCGAATTGGCCGATTCGAAAATCGGAGTTTCGAATTGTACAACTCAACTCGGTTATTTTATTCGCACAATTATTTTGACAGAAATCCTAATTCTTAAAGAATTTTAATTGAAAATTTTTGAAATTTTATTAAAATTGTATTAAAAATAATTGAATTTTTGCAAAGATTTTATAAAGAAATGAGAAAAAAATTGAAATCATTCTTGAAATTTTTTTGAAAATAATTGAATTTTTGCAAAGATTAAAATCTATTTCTATTTAAGAAAATAATTAAATTGTTTTGAAGTATTTATTAAAATTTTAGAAAATAATTGTATTTATTCGTAAAATTTTATTAAAATTTTGTTTAAAAATAATTTAATTTTTACGGATCGTTATTATTTATGAAAATAATTGAATTCTTGCAAAGAATTGAATTATTTTCAATATTTTCAATATTTCCGAAAATTCAAATACATACACAAACTAATTAAAAATTTTAAATTAAAACAATTAAAATTTTTAAGAATTATAATCATACCTATTTATAAATTTAAATTCCACAAAAAATAATTTTTTCAAATTATACAAAAATTCTTCAATTTTTCTTGAAATATTAAATTACAATTTTTATATAAAAAAATAATTCTTAGAATTGGAAATTGTATTTATTAACCGTAACTATTGGTTACTAAATGAAATTAAATGAAATTAAATTTTGAGTGGTCTAAGAACATTTTTGGTTAAAAATTCGCTGAGTTTCAAAGTTTAGAACGCCAAAAACGTCATTTCGAGAAAAACGGAATTAAAGATTGCGATACCAACTAATTGTTGTATCTCTGGTTCTTCTTGGAAGTTATTCAGATAAGCATTGTTTCCAGTTCAGGGCACCTTGAAGATAGAAAACCAACAGATTTTAAATTTTTAGAACCCCCCCCTTAATTAACTAATTAATTTAAAAACCGACAATATGGGCTCTTTTCTAAAAAGGACAGTTTTTCTATTAAAAAACCATTTTTTTACAAGATTAATGATTAGGTACAATTTTATTGTGTCATTTAAAGAAAAAGAATATATATTAAACTTATTAAAAAATTTGGATTTTTAATTTTGCAAAAAACGTTTTTTGCCCATAACTTTAAAAAAATGTTAGGACACCTATAAATGTTTTTCTTTAGTTTTGTAGAGTTTTTTTAGATGCATCTTTTGGTCCCTAATTGAACATTTTTCGTCCATATTAACCGGAGACTTTTTTGAAAATTTTGTTGAAAAACGTAGAAGTAACTTTAAAATTATCGTTACCAAATTGTAGAGCATTAGAAAACGATTCGATTGACCTATTTTTGAACCTAATTCGATAAT